ATCTTTCCAGGAGTGGATGTTCCAGCAAATTTACTCAAAGGTCAGACTGTGAATGCTTAAAGTAACTGCAAAAATCCAAAGAGCTACATCTCAGACTCTACAAGCCTTGGTTAGCATGTGAAATATTAAAGGTCATGACAGTGCATTTCGAAAAAGACTGCGCAGTATGGCTTGTTTGGAAACATTGCCAGGAAAAAGTCTTTTCTCCCTATAAAGAATATAGCAGCACGGTTTAGTTTTGCAATGTTGCTTCTGAAAAATCATCAAAACTTCCTGACCAGTGTGCTTTAAACAGATGAGACCGTCATGTCTCCAGTGTTTGGCCATAATGCCACAGCGACAAACACCTCACATTAATTTTTAAGGGATGACGATGTTGGCTTGTTTTGCAGCCACGGGACCTGAGCACCTTGCAGTCACTGACTCAGTCATGAACTCTTCTGTAAAGCTAAGTATTTTAGAGTCAAATATGAGACTAAATGTCTGAAAGCTAATGCTTGGCCAAAACTGGTTCAACCTCACTGAAATGCTGTGGTACGACCATAACAGAGCCGCACACAAATGCCTGCAAACCTCAATGAACTAAAGTAACGCTGTGAACAAGAGTGAGCCAAAATTCTTTCAGAACAATGTGAGAAACTGATAAAGTCATACAGAAAACGATTACTTTAAAGTTATTGCTGTTAAAGGTGGTTCTACAAGCTAGTGAATCATGGTTAGTTTTTAACCTTTTGCATTTTGGCTAAGTTTCTGTTAAATAAATAATGACATGGTGATGTGTCAATGTGTCTTGCGTTGTGTCATCTCAGGTTGCATCTACATAATGATAAGACTTGGAAAGGAACAGATTTTTAAAAATTATTTCATGGTATATGAAACTTTAGAAGTGAAAGAGGGTGCAGTTTGTTTTTCACCTGACTGTGCAACATGCTTACCGTGCAGTTATATTTGACACAGTCATCCCAGAACCGTGAGGCAGAGAACTTCTTTCTGATGACTACAGTCATGCCGTGTATTAGGCACTGGCCAACTCCCACAATGTTTCCTTTAAACAAACAAACAAACAAACAAAAAGCATAAGCAAAAACTGTTTAAACCAAAGCAATTATCAGATGAACGTAGATATCGCTATCTACATTCCAGAAAACTGAACAATGATAGCTAACAGTTAGTGACGGTTGACATATTAGCATTTGCAAACTGGCCTTTTATAACTAATCTTTCTATCTGCAAAAATTACAACACAACATTGTAGTAAGAAAACATGAACTAGTGAAGTCTCTCCAAGTTTGAAGAGTTATAATTAGTATCTTACTGTAATAGACAAAATTTACATCTATGTTTGTTTTTATTATCCACCAACTCCTCCCACACAATCACAGGGTGATGAACCAAACTTGAAACTTGGCACATCTTACCGCCTGATGGTTCTTATCAGATTTTATTTCATTAAGATGTTGTCATGTTGCCTAGCAACCACCTAGCAACAGGTTAAAATGACCTCCTTATACATGATATTACAATCATCATAGTCATGTTGTTTTGCAATCACCTAGCAATTTGCTGAAATTACCTTTTTTTAAAAACTTTAACACCTTATAAAAGCATCGTAACATTTTGATTTTGTGGTCAAGAGCACAAACAGCGCAAATAATACTGTGAAGTGGGTGCTTGCTATTAAGAAGTATCCCACTAACAACTGATGGAAACATTACATACAAAATATTTTCCACTTTTAATGTACTTAAAAGCAAATAAACAGAGATGCAGCATAGTGTTTGGCATTGACTCCTCTCACATTTTCCGCTGGATTACAGCAAAACTATTTTGATCAAACACCTCAGTCCTCAAACTAGCAGTAATATTATTGGCTGTTAAATTTAGTTTTGCTCACATTTGTTCATTTAGTGGCTGCCTTTTGTAGAACACCAATTTCTTACATTTATTTATATTTCATTATTTTGGGGTGATTAAATGAAAATATTTGTTGGGGTTTGTTCTCTTTTATATGTTTATGGTCTTAAAACATTCCTTTTATCAGCTGTTTTAAACGATTACAGGTGGTGAATGAGTTTCTTCCCTTTTGGAGGTCTTTACTGACACAGTTTTGTTTAAACCAAGAAAAAAGCAACGGTTTTCTGAATAATGTATTAATCAAACTTTGGAGGAAACACTCCAACTCATTTGTAGATTAAAACACCTCCTACCCTTTTATGTTCTTTTAACAGACATACCTGCAGAGTGGTAAAGTGGAAGGCAATCATACAATACATCGTCTGATGTCATCCTAAAGCCATAATACACCAAAGCTGCCATGCGATAGTACCTGAACACCAGGGCAGGGTGATGAACAAAAAGAGAAAAAAGTCAAATGAGCAAATACAAAAGCATTTAGTTTTATTTATTCCTCTCACTTTTTAACAACACTGCTTGTTCTTTACATGAAAGCTACATGGATTAACAAAGAGAACAGCTGCATTCCTGTGTGTCTGTTTGCCTCCTTCCTACCTGCTGTGCACAACAATAGCTGCTTTAGGCATCCCAGTGGTTCCTGATGTGTAGATGTAGAACAGGCGATCTGAAAACAGCACAGTGAGAGTACGACAATAGCAGAATCTGGTATGAGTGGGTTTATCATGTGCTTGAGTGCTTATACTTATACATTTATGCTTAGTTTAAATGTTTACTTTTAATTTACTGCTGAGTCCTCACTTTTGATTAGTTTTGCAGGAGGGTAAATACTCACCTTTCATCTCTATTTACAGGAATATTCACAGTTTTAATTATAAAGTCCTTTTTTAAGTTACAGAACTGAAGCATGGAGACAGAAAAAAGCAGTGTGACATGACTTGATTGTGAACATTGTGGATTCCATTTGTTTTCCCTTTTGCACTGTCTTAAAAAGGCAATACTTTTAGTTGCCTCGTGACAAGTCATCAGTAAATCCCTAAATCTATCAAAATAAAACAAAGGAAGATGATTAATGATAGGTATAACTCTTACTTGCCTGTGCCCATTGTATCATTAATTACACAAATTTTTAATTTAATGAACATATAGTGCATTATGTGAAGAAATAGTTAAAAGGGTCTGTCTTTTTTGTGGTAAGAAATATATCAAACAGAACAAAAGTGACATTCTTGACAATTCGCTTCAGTGGAAGTTGTTTTTTTTTTGTCAATATAAGTTTAGAAATTTGATTTCACATGACTGTGAGTCATTCCTTGGACCCAAAAATATTACTCGACACCTGCCAAGTAGTCAGTGCAGCTAGAGAGACAAAAATGCAAACAAATAGCTTTCTGAAATTGGTATGTTGTTTTAGTTAGAGTTGGTGCTAGGATTTTTTTCATAATTTTATGACTGCTAACCAGAAAAATCATTATTCAGCATTGTTCAGTGACATTTTTCTTGACCTGCAGGAAGATATCACTTTAAACCAAAAAAAGAAAATTTCAGATCCTGAATGGTTGTGAGATCTCATGGACACGGTGCTTTTACCTATGAAACTGCGATCTGGCCGAGGGGGTAGATGAGAAGAGGCACCAGCCACCAGGGGCTCGAGGCACTCTGTTCCCTGTGGGACTCGTTTGGGATCCCAGTCTCCAGAGCAAAACATCTGCACTGCTTTCCCCATTGAACTATGGACTTCAGACATAGCTGTGAGTAACAGAAACAAATTCAAATACATCAAATACATTTCACATATCCTTATCACAAGACAGCTGCACATTGTTCAACATTTAAATACAAGACAGCTTGCATCATTTGCAAACTTTAATCAATGACAAAACAAAGTATAGAGAGTGGTGTAAAATACAATATATACGAATGGTTAAAGGATAAAATAACTTGAAATGTTTACAGAGAAAGCATATTGAGGTACAGTGTCACAAAAAATGTGAAAGGAAGTGAATCAGGCAAAAAAAGGGAAACAACAAATTGAAACGGCTCTCGTATTTCACCTGAGGGGAAAAAAGATCCAAAAGCCTTATGTCATGCCTAGGCACTAAAACTAGTAGCTTGAATTTTGACCTATTCTGTAAAAGAGCTGTGTTTCCAATTACTTAAAGGCATAAAACACACTAAAAATCCATTACCCAGTACAGAGACTATTCCCTTGATCTCAGAGTGACCAGCTCAAAAATCATTCACTCTTTATAGCTGTTGAGATCAGGGCTTTCCATATTGGGCAGGGACCCAAGAAGGCACCAAGAAGAGAGTGAATTACATTTACAAATAATACTTGACCATCCTACCGAGCTGTGGCAGTTTTAGATAATGAGAGTTCAAGCTCAGGTAATACAAAGGCATGTCTGCAGGTTTGTAGAGTGAGCAAAATGAGAGTTAATTCACGCAATGTCAAACATACAAAACACACAAATATGATGATATGGCATTTAATTTAATACTCACTACAATCCTAATCTTACTGGCAAGTGAAAATGACTTTTTCATTTGTTTTATCTATTTGACAGTATTTCAGATATAATGTCAAGGCTGGTGTAACCTAGGAGAAATATGCACAATTTATTTTTTTGGGTTCTGTAATTAATTTAATTGAAACAATATATTTGTTTCAATGATGTTTGATGATGTATAAAAACCAACATGATTTTAAAACAGTGTGTAATGGTTTGATCTAGCCCCTAACAAAAACCATAACCCTCAGTTGATTTGACCTGAACACTGTACTATCAGACGTGTCTATGTCACAGTGATTCTGCCTTTTATCTGCCTCCTATCATGCAACACATTTCTCTGCAGAGCTCAGACCTTGGACACTGCAGACTAGTGGCAGTCCCTCCCTCATTACCTTATCCCTTCTTTGTGTTTATCAGTCATTTAAAGCTTTACTGGCTGATACTGAAGAAACACCTCCTCCAAAACCCATTTGTCTTTATGACCTCTGTGGCTGTCTCCCCTCACCACTCACCTCTCTCATTGCACAGGAACCAGAACAGCATTCATCAGCATATGACGATGCTGTACAGACTGTTATGCCTCAGCTTTCTCGTCTAACTTTCGAATCTATCCAACTTTCATCTGCCATCTTTGCTCTTACCATCAGTTAGCTCTGAACCAAAGATCACAGCCTTGGCATTGGAGATGGTGACACAGTGGACCAAAGCATCTAGTCTTAAATTGAAGTTGATGAGAGCTGCTTCTACTCCAATTTTAGCCATGCCCAACCATATGCCCACGTACTGCGATCTGTTCTCCATGAAAAGGGCCACCACATCACCTTCCTAATGACAGAAACAAAAACAAAAAAAGACAGTAATATAACTTTAAAAAGATTTGCTTTTGCTTAATTGCTTTTAATGAAGCTTTATTGTGTTGTACATCTACCTTAAAGCCTCTTTCCAGTAGCAGGTTAGCCACTCTGTTGGAGTATTCATCCAACTGTCGGAAAGTCCATCTCTCCCCAGTGCCCTCGAAGATGAGCGCTGTTTTGTCCCCATGACGGTGCACCGTTTCAGCAAAGATCTTGGGAATAGTGTTCTTCTCTCTGAGGTGGCGCCTGACGTTCAGTTTCACCCGCAGTAAAACACTGGCTGCACTGAAGGAGCAAAAGAAAACATTACTGTAAGAGAACAAATAACTTAATGATTCCCAGCAACATTAGCCATTTCACTGTTCATAATTTGCTGTTATTTTTCCAGCTCTGAGATCATTACACTGCACTTTTTTTTTAAACATTAGTATGTATCTTGTCTTTTGGCAACAAACATTTGTCTAACGAGCCACCAAATTCCCTTTTGCAAAAATACATAAACCACCTTTTAAAGAATCTGTACTTGAATGTATTGCGAACTGTATCCAAACCACATTACAAAGCATCAAATATTTTAACAGATATGGCTTGGAGGCCCACAAGGTCAAATTATGCATGAATGGCAATTCTCAGCACTTTACATTTGTGGTACATTTACATTTGTGGTACAAAGGTAGTGTGCAATCTCCTGAGCAGTGAATAATTACAGAAATGTCATAAAAAAACAATAAGCCAAAGTACTTCTTGGCTACAGTGAGGTAGCGACAATACGCTTATCATTACATAAGAGAGTTATTTCATGATGGTCTAGATAAGCATTTATTGGTGCACAGCTAGTTGAGGCTAATTACTTTCTTTTCTTATGCCTTTTCTTACTCATACAGATCTATTGCTTAAGAACAGTACCCATTATAAAACTATAGCCTATTTATTTCTAATGCCTTAGGGACTCTTACAATGTATATACCTGAGCTTTGTCACACAAAAATGCCTCGTCAACAGCTCGTGAGTCACTGTGTGAAATATATGATTCGTTAAGATCCAATGCTGTACAGAGTCTTTCTAACCTTGACACTTTAGACAATAATACAATTGATCAATAATACAAGTTAACGTCATAATTCTAATCAAGCAGATGCAGCGTGCCAGAAGCAAAGATAATAAAAAGTATAAACAAAACTAAACATTAGATGTGGCTAGCACATTTTCTATGACAATTTAACAGAAAGGGAGGACAAACAGTAATATTTCGTTCTCTAATCATGAGAAAACTGGGTGACCTTTGTATATAATGGGTCCCTGAATGGCAGTAATCCCTAATGGGTAGATTATTGTGTTGCTGTTCCCCTAAAGAGATAATTTACAATTTCCTGTTTTAAGATTACTGCAGCTATTGAGGAAAAAGGGAAGTTAACCTCAAACCAACTACAATGCCAGTTTCCACTTGTAAATACTGGCTTTAGGTATGCCACTTAAAACATTTGCTCCTACCCTTTTCTCTGTCCTCTGGACCTTTTGTCTTAAATATTTGAGATTGCGTGTTTAGAAACAGGTACAGAAAGAATATCTAGCCAGCTCTTAACAAGGGCTTAGGAACTAACCCTTGTTTGTGACAATTATGTGGTGACGATGAGAATTTATCAGCATGGATTTCACCTGTTTTTGCAGATTTAGTACTGTGTGACTATTGAGGTCACATTTAACTCTATGTCTGAATTTCAGAGCCAAAACTACAGGAAATTGGCCACTGGGTCACAGTTAAAAGTGACATAGCTCATGCCAAATGATTTGGAAGACATAATACATCTATGGTCCAATTTTATGATTTTGCATTTAGCAAACAAACATAATTCCAATGCTTACTGTAAGTCTCTGCCAACTGTTTTGGCAAAGATATCCAGGAAGTTCCATCCTCCACTTCCCAGATAGAAGATCAGGATGGCTGGAAGAACCTGGTACCAGGGCAAGCCCACCAGCAGCCTCAACACAAAAAGCAGGGCAGTGCAGCATGCTAGACGCATCATCCTGAAAGAATGCACACACATATAAATAGATACAGAAGGGTCTGCCAGCCCCTTCTGTATCTACTGATCACAAACATTTCAGGCCAAATGACTGAAAGGTTACGTGCAGGTTATATGAGCAAACAGAATTTTTGAATCCACTTCCTTAAATACGTAAACGACTCAACGCCTTAACAATGTTATGGTCTATGGTTTTGTTTACATATCTGCAGTCCATTTCAATCCACTGAGTCAGCTCTGGTAGACTGAAGTTGCGGTGAAGGGTTACCATTTGAAATAGTGGAAATTTAGAGTCTTGGGTGACCTCTGGGTATTCATGATTACAGATAAGATTGTAAAACATTTATAAAATGTGTTAAGCTGGGTGGAACCCTTAAATTTTCTCTTCTTGCTTGAAGGAGAAAACAAAAAGAAGCCTAAAGGCTCTGTTCTGAATTCACAGCAAACCGTCTAAAGTGACAGCAGACAGCACATGCTGACAGTTTCCCAGATGCCACCTGATACAGCCAGGAAGATAAGCCTAAACAGTAAATGATATCTTGACACCCATGTTTGTTATTTTTTAAATAGCCTTTAAGCACAATACATATAGAGATGATTGATTTCAGTTCATCATCATCAAAAGGCCATTTTATAACCCCCTCAATGCCTCCATACATCTGGCTGTAATTGTGATGATGTTGGTTCCATCATGCAAATTAAATAACTCCACTGCTAAAATATAAACAAGCACAGAGGAGAGCTCTGTGTGGACGATTACATTACCCTGAACCTCAAACAGATCGACGTGATGGGTTCGAGGGAAAGAGATGCATTAAGGGGAGAAGTGGCCGGCCACTTCCCGGTAAGAAAAGAGCTTCATCATTCGCTGATGCCGAACCCGGAAATTTACATGGCGCGTAGCATTGCGGTAGAGGCTGTGGCAACGACAGGGGGAAGGCTCAACCCACTGTTGGCAAGGTTACACCTCACTAACCATGCCATGTGCATTTCAGACGAAGCCTTTTTTATTGCAACGACGTTGGCCAAAATCATCAAACTGATGTAGGTTATCATGGTAACAGGCGCGCCAGGGAAACAGGATGCGCAACGTATTGTGCGCATCGGCTCAAAGGAAGCGGACAGCGTGACACCATGAGCAGCTTCTTTCAGGAGATAAAGATGAGGCATATGGTGTAATTGCACGGTTTGCTTGTCGGGGACAAATGGCCGTCTCAAATGTAAACATCGGACACCCCGAGTCCCGTCAGCGGGTTAATCGCTGACAAGGAGATGACGAGCCGCCGCTGCTCCTCTCTCCTTTCTTCTGGCGAATAATAAACGGGCCGGTCCGTCAAACACCACGCCGATCGATCTGGGCTGAGGCAGGGACCCATTTCCGTTTACATACCTTGCACCTCCTTCACAGCATGCAGGTGCGCAGAAATCCCAAACGTGAAAGTCGTTGTGTGCAATTCCACCTTGATCGGCTTACAGGCTAGCCTGGTCGCCCCCCCACTCTCTCCCTCCCTCCGCTCTTCACCGCCGCTCGGTCGGCTTGACAGAGAAACGCACACGGGCTGACACAAGCACTGGGATCCCCCCCCCTCTTTGTTAATATCACAACGACCCGCTGCTCCTTCTTCGAAATCGCCTGGCAGTCTCCGTCGACTTTGATCCCGCGATCATCATCCGTTCATTGTCATAATCATCTAAATAATCACTGGCTTCATTGTAGCCGATAAGCTCACTAGCAGGCGTAATTCAAATGACCTTATAATTTTCTTACTTGCGCCCGCCCACTGCCGTCAGCGTCAAATCAGTGAATCAGGAATAAAAGTTGACGGACGGGTGCAACAGCCAATCAAGAACATGAATGTACGTCTTTTCTACGTCATATCCGGCAAGAGGCGGGTGTTTGCGGTTCAGGAAATGCGGTGTGGCCCAGCAAGCTCAGTCAACGAGGCCAGCACGCGCAGCAGTTTCAACGCGGTTGTGACAAGGCCCTGATGCAAAATGAGTACGCCTTTTTATGCCATTCACTCTTTACTCTGCTGCGACCTGCTAGAAATTTTCTTTAAGCCTATGTATGTCAACACAGGGCTCCCGGAGGACTGTGGAATTAGGAAGGGCAGGTTTTCGAACAATAGCGACAGGATTAACCCGTCCTGTGTGCCAGAGAGGACGCGGATCTACTATGACAACTGTAACTTGCCATTTTTCAGTACAAAGGCTAGGTTGATTGAAAATAACATTAAGTTATTTGAACTCCTCGTAGATGTCACATACATACTTAAATGTACGACTGCTGAGCCAGACAGAACTGCTCTCAAGTGTTGCAATAAAACTTTGGCACCAAACAATTTCTATACTACATGTTGGCTCGTGAATAATTGTTTTTGCTTTACGGACTGCTGCAACTTCAAGCCAAGAAATGTCCTGTTGTCTACATTTGCAGAACACAAAGACCTTGACATTTTACACAGTGCTTATACTAGCAACGTGACATCTCTTGAATTGCACTGCATAACCAGGGTGGATTACAAAAAGTCTACGATAGCAAGCCGTTGAGAGTCACTGGTGCAGGTCAACAAAGGACGCGCTCCCAGTGGTCCCGGAGAGATCTGACAAGGACAGACTTGTTTGGAAACTCTTGCAAAAAACATGTTAAGTGTAACCTTGGGTCAAATAGTGGACTCGATCTGTAGTAATACCAAGGAGTCACAAAAAGGTGATAAGTTTTACAACGCAATTATCATACTGCTATCCCATACACACTAGTGTTTGGGATCTTAGCTGAATGATAAAGAGATGCAATTATCAGGGCAAGAAAACTTGACCAGCTTCGACCTGCTAGTGATATATTTCCATTGTGCATTCAGTTTCACAAGCAAATACAGATGCCAATCAAGTTAATGAGAGTATCACAGGCGTTGTCAAACTCTTGATAACAGATGACACTTATCACTGATTCTTAGATTGTATTATGCATGCTATGCTTTTTTTCAGTACATCGAGTCCACCAGAGCTTTTGTGTTTCAGAAGTTCAAGTGCTGACAGACAGAAAACCATAAATATCTGTGAAAGTTGCCCAGTACCCTTTCTTAAATTAGGTGAAGGATGTGAATTGAAACAAAAAGACGGTGTATCTTTATAAATTGTGATATTTAAGCATCTCATTTATTAAATTCATGTCACTTACTGGTAGTACAGTTTAACACTCCAGTATTCTTATCTTTTCTGTAAATAACAAACCAAACAATCAAAGTTAGAAAACGACTGCCATTTGAGTAGCCAGTACAGACAGGCCTTTACTTTAGTTCTATTTAGGTAAGCTCAAACATTTAAATTAACCCTCAGCAGCATTTACATCCTTGTACACACAGAGAGATCTTGAAAGACTGGAATGAACCCACTAAAAGGTTTGAATAGCTAGACTATTTTAAATACCATGCCAGCATAATGGAAAAATCCCACTGTCCTTTCATTATCAAAATTGTTAGCCAGGAAAAAAGGGCACATCAAATCTATTAATAAGTTTGTGGTCTTTAACTTATTTTTCCTGCAGTTTTCTTTGTCAGAAGAACCGTCCTCACCATTTTATTTTCATTTTCTCTTTTTGTTCAGTCATCCAGTTCCAAACCAAAGTGAGCGTAGAGATCTCGTGTGGTGGTCCCTCTCAGAGCAGCTGCAAGACAGACAGATTACAGGGTCAACTCCCTCTAGCCTACATTTCAAACAAACCACAAAACACTGAACAGGCCAAGAGTACAGCACCGAAAAATTAATCAGGCTAAAGACGAGGCTTGCACTTGGTAAAAGAGGTATGACCAGAAGTATTTAAAGGATATTGATAATCTACATTGTGTTTTATTACCAATATTTTAAAGATTTCCAGTTACTTAGCCCCGCTAGCTGAACCTTGGGGTCGTTAGTATTCTACAGAATCAAACTATGCTGAATTATGTTGGGTCCAGCCTGATAGATAACTGCTTGGCAAAGAAAGGGCATATAAAAAGTCTAATATTTGTTAGTTGCCTAACTACCAAGTTCAGTACAAATCTGTTTATCCAACAGTCAAAAAATGAAAACACACACACGGCAAAAAAACCCCCCTGCAAATACTTTTTAATAAATTACCTATTAATATTGTTTCACAGTGTTTTGTTAGTAAAAATTAAGTGAGAATGCTTTCAGGCAGATAAATTAAACTATGCACAGTGGAATAAAAAAGTACAATCAACATTTGGCCTCACTATTCTTTTTTGTCTTTAAAACAGAATCGCACATGACATTTGGGTTACTCCAGTGACCTTGGAGCACTATGCATAGTTCTTTCAGTCTCAGGTGTTTCTGCCTCTTTATATAATCTAAGACCACCTGTGTGAGGTTGACACCACAGTTGTGTGCTACAAAGCAAGCTCAACATAGCCAAGCTCTGATATGTCAGCTGACTTTTCTTTTTAAGGATCAGTTCAGTGCCGCCCATTTCAACAGAGACATCGGGACAGGAGAACAGCAGACAGAGGTCTATAAAGAAAAAGCTGTAAAAGTAGAAGAGTGATAGGTAACAATGCTAGGAGACAAAATGTTACTACACCTTTTACCATTTACTTTTTACATGAACACTCCACATTACAACATCAAAACGGATCCATTTAAAACAACAACGCATTTATGTCAGACACAATCCCATAACATGATGAAGAAGATGTGGAAACCACTTTAGATTTTAGCTGGTCACAGTGAAGTTGATTTTCCTTAGTTGATATTCTCCTTGATAACTAGCCTACAAGTAGAGTGATATATTATCTGACCTGTGTTGTGCGTATTTCCTGTAATTCCAGCCGTGTAAAACAGACTTGGTAGCAGATTAGGGTCAAGCATAAAACATGTAAAAATTTTCTACATCACCAACTGAATGCATGCAAATTCGTGTGATCATGCAGCGCATGTTGCACTGCTGTAACTTTGCTGTGTGACTTTACTGCAGGCTTCCTTTGGAGGTATTAGTACAGTATAAACATATTCCTTAAGCAGAGAATCTAAAATCAAATTTGGAGCATGTTGTCTTGAAAAGAATCAGTTGAGATGTGGTGCCTACAGCTGATTTTAAATGTAATATAACTCTGAATCAGGTTATGTGTTTAGTTACTATGGTGACCTAACGCGGTAAAAAGAGAGCCACCTTTATGGCTTTAGGCTTGTTACAACTTGCTAACTCATTTATGCTTCACAGTAAACCCCTCAGGGCTCAGTGGAGACAATGTTCTGTTGCAGGACTTGTTCTTATTTCAGCAACGGCTGTGGGGTGGATGCTAAATGTCACAATGAATGATAACTTTGGCACCTACCAAATCCGCTTTTAACGATACTGTATGATGGATTATACTCAGTGTTGGTAAGGTTACTTTTAAAATGTACATGCCCCAAAATGTATTCTGTAACGTATTCCGTTACGTTACTCAATGAGAGTAACGTATTCTGAACACTTTGGATTACTTAATATATTATCATGCTGTTTACAACTACGTGAATGTACTATTGCTGTGATTTATTACTGTTACTGAAGGTCCGCGGCTCCGAACCGTAGTAAAGGGACCTCTGGCTAATACG